GCATATTAATATTAGTTTGTTTATATTTATTTTTATTTTTATGCTAATTTATTAGTCATTGTCATGAAGTTTGAAATATAATTTAATTATTGATTGATATTATATTTTCAAAATTTTATGCAGATATATATATACAATGACATCAAGTGAAGAATTTCCTATAGGAAGACTAGCTAGAAGGTGCTCCAAGCAACGATATTGGATGGTATTTTGGAGTACCTATAGCGAAAAATCTCAACAATGTCCAATGTAAACTTTGTCAAAAAATAATAACGGGTGATATTACAAGATTAAAGCAACACATAGCACATGCAAAAGGTCAAGAAGTAGGTTGTCCAAAAGTCACATCATTTGTTAGGGAGAATATTATGAAACTTCTCAAAGATAAAAAAGAAAAGAAAATTGCCTCTAGAAAAATAAAAGAAGAAATTGAATTTCGATTTACAAAAGATGATGGAGAAGATAGTGATGAGGAGATGAGGATAGCTTCGCAACAAAGCATCAGATCACAATGTGAGTGGGAAGATAGACAACAATTCAGACAACAAATAGGGGGATCTAATAAGATCTATGAATCAGGTGGAAGGTCCCGCATGAGTGTTAGTCAAACTTCAAGACAAGAAGATGCTACTTTTTCTTTAAGATCTACAAATGTGGATCTTGTGAGAAGTAAAAGTATGAAACAAAAAAAAATAGGTGAGGGTCTTATGAAAATATTAATGAAAAAGCTCAGAGAAACGGTAAGCAAGTTTATAATTTATGAACGCTTACCTATGAATTTATCAAATTTTCCATGGTTGCATAATTTGATTATTGTAGTAGCTGAGGTAGGTCCATCAGTTAAATGCCCTACACCTTATGAAGTTTCTGATGTGTATTTAGAAGATGAATATAAAAGCATGCAAGAATGGATAAGCAAGTTGAAAACTACATGGAAGGAAAAAGGAGTAACAATAATGTGTGATGGTTGGATAGATAGTGTAAATCATACACATATTATGAATTTTCTAGTGTATTGTAGTAAGGAACAATTTTCTTGAAACCTATTGATGCTTCTAGTGTTGACACTAGAAATACTGATTATTACTTTCAGTTATTGAATAAGGTTGTGGAGGAAGTGGGAGAAGAATTTGTAATTCAAGTTGTTATAGATAATGAAAAAACACTTAAAGCAACTAGTCAAAAGTTGATGGAAAAGAGACAACATTAATTTATATTGGACTGCATGTGCAACACATTATTTGGATCTTTGTTTGGAGGATATAGGAAAAAAAAAGAATGTGCAAAAGTTATTAAGTGATGCAAAAGTAGTAACAAATTTTATCTACAATCACACATGGATTGTAAATCTCATGAAAAAATACACTGGAGGTAGAGAAATTTTTTGTCCTAGTGTTACCCAGTTTGCAACACAATGTTTACAACTTTAAGCAATTGTGCAACAAAAGCAAGGCTTGAGGAACATGTTCAACTCCGAAGAATTTAGACGATCTAAATTGGAAGAGACAAAAATGGATTGGCATTTGAGGCAAGACAAATTGTTATTGGCAATGATTTTTGGAGCAAGGCTAATGATATATTGAAGGTATTTGAGCCTGTAGTAAAAGTTTTGAGGCTAGTTGATGGTGATGAGAAACCAACAATGATTTTTATATATGAGGTAATTGATCGAGAGAAACAATCAATTCAAAAAAGTTCTCGTTATTATTCTCAATACCAAGAAATAATTGACAAGCATTGGAGATTCATGCATTTTGATCTTCATTCTGCTGGTATCTCATTATAATCTTACTTTTATTATATAAAGCAATACATTAATACAATTATAGATACTTATTGATTAGCTATTTATTTTTTAGGTTATTTTCTTAATCCACAATTTCAATATGGAGTTGAACATGGATCTGATGTATAACAAGAGAAATTTGAAGGGACCAAAAAGGTCATTATGAAATTGGAGAGAAACATGGATGATCAAATTAAAGCTTTGAACTCGGTTAGTAATAAATAATTATATTTTGTTTTTTAAAATTATTTTTATATAACTATGTATTGATATCTTATATAATATAATGTTATATAGTTGGTATTGTTTAAAGACATGGGTGAAACATTTGCTACAGCTCAAGCTCATAGAGCTTGGCCTAGAATGAATCCAGGTAAATATAGTTTCTTCCTTTCGCAATAAATAAATGTATTTTTTTATAAATAATAATTTTTTATGCTTGTTCTCTTAAAAAGCTGAATGGTGGTTGATGTTTGGTTCATGCTCTCCTGAACTTTAACATGTGGCGGCTATTAAAGTTTTAAGTCAAATAACTTCAGCCACAAATTGTGAAAGAAACTGGAGTACGTTTAACTATATTCATACAAAGACAAGGAATAGGCTTAAGTACAAAAAGTTGCAAAAAATTGCCTTTACACATTACAACATGAAATGGAAAATCAGGCATCAAATGAGAAAAAGTTAAGAAAAAATTGAAGCAAGTTTCAATCCAATTAATCTTGATTATATATTTCAAGTAGATGACCCATTATCTCCATGGATAGAAGAAAGAGAAAATCCACTTTTAGATGGAATTCAAAATTCAGAGTGATTGCCTCGAATTGATACAAATGATGAAGATGTGGAAGGTGGAGATAATGATAATGATGGTAGTGACTTAAGCCCACCAAGTAATAATAGTGGTGATGATGGTGCTGATATTGAAGGTGAAGAAAATGATGGATGAGGATGAACAAAGACAAAATGATCCATATCAAGAGATTCCATATAATAGGCGTGACACAAATCTGGTAATTGATTTCACTACTTCTGTGCCAGGTATGATTCCTCTTGATCGTTCATTTTCAGGTAATAATAGAAGAGACAACTCACAAGTTACAAGAGGAAAAAATAAACAAAATGTGTCATGTAAAGATTCTACATCTTCTCATATATATTGAACAAAGTTTGTGAGTTTAATATTGATGTTTCTTTAGAAAGTAGTCAAGGGTACTATCTACCACCAGTTTATCAATATGTTTATTTTAATGCATACAATCAATATGCAAGTGACCAAGTTCCCTCATACCACCAACCATAATCAATGAATTATAATGATCTTTATTATCAATAACAAAGTGGTGGATTTTTTGATTATGTTGGACAAGGAACCACACAAGGGGATAGCCAAAGCGAGAGTGGAGGCTATGATCATCCTCATCACTCTACTATGTGGTAATAAGTATCATGTGAGTTAAAAATTTATTATATGTAATTTTTTACTTGTGAAAAAAAATTCACGCTTTTATAGTTTTACAATATTAATAAAGAATTTCATATTTTTTCCTTGTAGTGAAATACATCTATGAAGGGTGGCATTGCTTCTGAGATAATTGATGACAATGAAACTTGTGGACAATCATAATACTTTATGTCAAGTCATTTCCTTTTTTCTTTCTTGTCTATTTGAAATTTGTCTAAATGTATGTACTTTTAAATTTTTTATGTGTCAATGAGAATTTATTTTTGAGAAATTATGACAAATATTAAGTGAGAATTAATCTAACCACTATTGTGTTTCTCTTACTATTAAATTAATTTTAAAATAAATTAAATTATTCATTAAAATAATATAATATTTTAAAAAAAGGAATAAAAATGTATAAATCTTTAAAAATAAAATATATATCAATAATTATAATTTTTTTTATATTTAGTATAAATAATTAATAATTTCACACTATAACGACCGCAATTCGCATCGTAATACTTGCAATAACCGCAATCGCAACCGCAATTTAAAACCATGCCACATTCTAATAGAACTATATTTTCTTATTCTTCTCATGGCAATAAAATTTGTTGCTTGGTTAAACGTAGCAAGTTCGCTTCATATGAGTTTTGGTTTCTGAAGATATGGTTTAATTTCATCCATCCAATTCTGGTACCACAACAAAAACAAGATATTTTGAAACAGAAGAAGAGTCTCAACTACAAAATGATGTTTCATTCATCAGTGAATCACTTGCATTCCCATATGATTAAATGTGTGAGAGAGAGGACTAAACCTTCTCTTTAACACAATCCACAACTTCTTTTCATGCGTACAGAAGAGACAAATAAACAAATGTGGTTCAATACAAAAAGTATAAAAGAAATCAATTAACCTTTGACACTAACTTGGCACAATTCAAATACATATACATAAGGGATATGGAATTAAATGCAAGTATATAATATTTCTATATTTTATTAACACACTCTTATTTCCTTGAATCTAATAATGAGAACAGTTTCACCCCTCTCGAAGGCCTTTGCAAAAAACATTTCGAATAAAAAGAGAAATTTAATACAGAGAATATATTACGTTCATGGAAGAAGTTCATGAAAAAATAAAAGCCCTTAATCAATTTCCAGAAAGGACCTCGAAAACATGGAGAGAAAAAGGACTACAGATGCGATCGATATGCATCTAAAAAGAAAATTTTCAAAATTTTATCACGAAGATAAACAAGATGACCCACCACATAAACCGATGCCATCTTCCTCTTCTGATCTGACTCTATTTTTGTTATCTGAATCACCCGAGGAAGCAAGGGTGAAAGTAGTTGATGATGATACAACCGTGAAGATGTTTGATTTAGAAGGATTTTCTTAACAAATAACAAAGACATATTTATAATTAATAAGATAAAATTTATTAGTAATTAAGTATGATATGGTATTATTAAATGAGTGTGTTCAACCAAACTTCTTCCTCCAAGAATTATAAGAGGATACAAAAAGTCGACTTAATATTCTCAATATTGATTTTTACCATTAAAATTAAAATAATATTTTGTCAATAAAGATCATGTTTCATGATCATAAATAAATTTTTAATTATTAATTTTGAGATGTTTTATTAATTATATCCATGATAAAAAAAAACAAAAAAAAAACCCAAAGCAACGGCATAAGAATTTGGCAAAAAATTTCAATTCATTCGTTTGAATGACTACAAAAAGGACAGAAATAAGCCAAAATGGGGGGATAATTAGAGTTTTTTTTTTTTTTTTCTATTTTTGTAGCAGTACAATTCGACATCACCTATGAGCTTCTGTGGCAGGCAGATGTAAGGTTTTAGATCTTGACTACACATTAATTCCCTACGAAAAAAATAAAAGCCATATATATATTGGTGGATACATCTGGCTTTGCTCAGTCTTCTTTCTTTTCTTTCTTTCCATCGTTTGCCATGCACGCCACGTACTACATATGGATTTTGTGAAGAAGGGAATTAACATGCAAGGCCAATAATTAACAAGGTTCTCCCACTCTACACCTAAGGCTGCCAGAAAAGCGTGTAAGCCTTCCTACATAACTCGCTGGCTTAGCTGTGATCATGTCTAGCCTTGAGTAGGGTCTGTTTACGAGCTCAGGCCCAGATTCCACAAAAAATGCTCCATTCATGTATACATCGTTGATTGATCTCCACTGCCAGTTCTTCCAAATGTTCTCTTCCGTGTATTCTCTCTTTGTAATCTTCACCAACACACAAACAAATCATGTTATGTTCATTCCAGATATATGAACATGATCACAGAATAATATGTTTATTAGTGCTATAGCTCGTGATGGTGTTTATATTTATAGATGCATACCTCTTTTGCAAACCTGTTGTTAGGACCTATAAATCGGTTACCCTCACTGATGATGGTGGGGTTCTGGTTGCCACCAATGGCATACATTTCCCAGTGAGTGTAGTCGTTGTTAACGGAATGCACAAAACCAAATCTGACTCTGGGCATCCTTTGAACTAATCTTTTGCCAAAGTGGTTGAATGCAAGAGTGACTTGCATGATCTTATCAATTGTGCATTCGTCACGGGCACCAAACAACATCGCCTGCACCATGCATACACACACTCAAACCCAGATAAAGGATGTTTTCCAATCTTATTAATTCTTTTATGTAAAGATACCAAATCAATAGAATAGAATTGAATAAGAGTATATTGGATACAAGTTAGAAGGGTTTTTCATTTATTTCTCTACTTCAAAATAAAAGGATATTTTTTAATAGAGAAACTCTTGAAAAATACTCTTATGAACTTTTGTATCCAAACAGACAGAATTACCTCGTTGTGATCGGTGAAATGGCTGTTGGAAATGGTGATAGCAGTGGATGCCATGATGACATCAATGAGTCCATCGGAGCAGTTTCTCATGGAAACGTGGTCGATCCAAATATTGCTAGCACCAAAGACGGAGATCCCATCACCATCACTCCTTGTCCTTTGGCCATAATGGGTTTCAGAGTCTCTGATAATGCCACCCTCACCGGGCTGAATGTCGTAGATCTTGATACCATGGATGATGATGTTACTGACAAACTGAACAGTGAGGCCAGCGCCATTGGCGATGTAAACCTCAACTCCTCTTCCGTCGATGGTCTTGTTGCTGTTCATGATGAGCTCCTGCTTGAGCGTGATGAGCATGCTGCGTGCGAAGATGATCCACAGTGGACCCTCTCGTGTCACCGCGTGCCGGAGAGTCCCAGGTTTTAGGTCTATCAATTCATCGTCTGAGGGATCTGTGACAACGTAGATTGGACCACCTTTGCCTCCGACCGTGTTTCTGCCGAATCCCTGCACGCAATCTGCAAGCTTCTGGCGGTCTTCGGCCCAGTTAGGGTCACACCTCCAGCACCTGTCGATGGGGTTCGTGGCCATGCATTCTGCTCCTCGGTTTCGCCCCCTCAAGTTCCTTCGTGCGTTCTTTCCAACTAGAAGCCTGTTAAGACCAATTTCACTTTATCAGTACTACCATCAAATTGCATCAACAGCTACCAGGTTTCGTGAAATTGTACACTATCCTATTACATTTACATATATAGAAGCATGTGCTTGAGATGAGGAGAGATAAAAGTTCTGATTGTGTCACTGTATTATCAATTTGTTACAAGTGTTACCGAGTCAAAAGAATGTTATTTTTCTCATAGGTTCACAGAAATATAGGAGATTTCTACGTTTGGAACTAGAACCTCAGTTTTAATTTTGTTCATTGGCCAAAAAGATCTCTATCATTTAACACGTTGACATGAATGTGTGTATATATATATATATCAAAGCATGTTATGAAATTGAATATGATTTGGTATGAGAGGACTCACTCGCTGACACTGGAAGTCAGGTTGCCGGAGAGTGAATACGGATCTTGAAAATAAGCTGCCTCGCTGTTCTTTTTAGCTGTTTTTGCCCTTTCCTGCCAATAAGAATCGAAGTCGTTGACATGGTTCTGCCAATAATCATCTTTCTCCAAGACATTGGCATTCAGGGTAGGAATTATAACTGCTAAAGAAACCAAAATAATTAAAAAATTATTGAACTCTAATTTCCCCATATTTCTTCCTTTCTTTATTATTGATGATGGCCAAGGTTTTGAGGCTTCGGTTTTTTGAAGCTAACCCTGGCCACCTCAAAGAGAATGGAACCCTCCTGGGTAAATTTGAGAAAAGAAGCAAGAAATGGTTCGAATGTTTACGTTGAATGGGGGATCATATTTATATGGTAGAGGGGACAGCGAAAAGAAAGCATGGAAAGCCAAATTTGGATCAATGAGATTCATTTACTTGGTGGTTATTCTTTTCAATTTGCATCATTCATAATTGTCATTACTTATAATTAATATTTTTTTCTTAAAAAAATAATTTAGCAAACAGTATATTTAGCCTTAACCTACACTGTTTTCTAATTTGACCAAGAAACAAAAACACTCTTCGTGTATCCCTTTCTCCCTGGCCTCTTTTTAGCAAACCATATTTAGTAATATTTAAATGATAAAGCATAATAAAAGAAAATGACTTAAAATAGTTTTTAGTTTATAAGGTAAACTTATTTTTTCCCCTCAAATTAAAAACTAATTTTTGTAGTCCTCATAATTTTTATTTTTATTTATAAATTATTCCAATCCATCTTTCCAAATATCATTAGTATGTCTCTCACATAAAATTCAACTATTATTACATTTTTTTTTATGAAAACATGATATTAAATTTAATTAATGTTGTACAATTAACTTGATTTATCATGTCAATAATGTTGCAATGTTGATAAATGACTAAACTAAGTATTTTTGAAATTACTATAACAACAAATATTAATTGTAAATTTGGGAATCATAAAATTTATTCTAAATTTAAAGGATTAAAAATATATTTAACTAAAATTAAACAAATCTACAAATATTAGGATGTTCCATAGAGTTGTTGGGGGTAGCTCTACTCTTGTGTGACTTTTACTAGTAAAAAGTTAGTCTTTTACGTCATCACTTTGTCAGACATATAAATAAACAATATAAAAAAGACGCGGTGGCAATTTTGAAAATAAGTCGAACTATTTTACGTCGGACTACATAGGATCTGACGTAAAATTTGAAATCTACGTCAGACAAAAGCCACAGCCGACGTAGATTTAAAATTTTACGTCGGACTCCTATTTAGTCCGACGTAAAAACCTTTTTATATCCCTGGGCGCGCCTTCATCTTCCTCGCGCGTACGACCTAAGTTATTCTGAAAAGCATTTGGACGATTTCCGGCGAAGGTTAGAACGAGTTCTGGTTGCGTTTTGAGCTTCGGCGAAGGGCGGCTCATCATTGGTGGGTCATTCTCCATCTTTTTGACCGATTGGAATCTGGTGAAGGGCGTTTCTGAGTTTTCGGCGAAGGTGAGTTGCTATTTCTGGTGAGCCTTCCATTCATTTCCTTTTCATTGCCTATATATGAATCTTCGTTTATTTTATGTCACTGTTTTATGTTATCTTCCTTTCATTGCCTATATAAATTATTGATGGTGGGTTATTTTAGTTGCTCATTGTTGATGTATTACCTTGTATTAGTTGCTCATAAAAGGATTTTTATTTCTCCAGTAAAATAGATATATTTTTAATGATACCCAAAAAATGAAGGAATTTTGGATAAATAAACATAATAAAATTAGTTTTATGGAATTTTTTTATGAATGAAAATTTATTGGAAGTGTGTAGATTTTATTTTGGGTATAAATAAAAGAAGTTTATAATATCGTATAATTTTATTTTATTAAGTATTATATTTAATAATTTTATATTAAATATAAATTTTATAAATTTTTAGATTATATTTTTTTTGAATAAGGTAGATGTGTTATAGTATCACTATGCGATGAAATATATAATTATATATTAATTCAAGATAATTTAATATTTTATTTTTATAAAACAAAATTGACGTAATATATACATTTCAAAATATATTAAAATATGAACATTTTGATTATCTTCAAGTTGTTATTCAATTTTAGCAAGATTTGATATAAACATATAAAGTGATATGAATTTTCAATCTAACGGTTGGATTTACAAAATTCACATTTAACATAAAACTATTGAGTAGTGTAATACTTAATCACTCTAAAAGGTTATCCAACATGATATACACATCGATTATTTAAATTTATAATTGAAAATTATTTAATTTCATTTTAAAATTAATTTTGATCTTTATATTTTGATAATTTAATTTTTTAATTTTACTCATAAATTTGATTATTCTAGAAACAATATTATTATTTTAATTTTGAAATATAATTTTTAATATTTGCTTAAAGAGATTTTGGCAAGATAATTATTGTAATTACCCTCTCTTTGTATATGTTATTTTAGAGTTGTTTAGGGTTTAGGGTTTAAAGTTTAGGAATTAGTTGACTTTAGGGATTTAAAACTATCATGTGCATGATATACATGAAATTGTAATGTACGTAGTTATGAACCGAAGTTGGATGAATGCACGTCGCATTAGTGAAGAGTACAGAAACGGAGTTGAGGAGTTCTTGCAATTAATTTGCTAGAGAAAATGGAAAACCTATCAAACCGAAGTTCCATGCGTTCGTTGTTTGAATCTGCTACGTCAAGAAGTTGGGAAAATACGTGATCACCTATTTATATTTGGTATTGTGAAGAGTTATACAATATGGACATGGCACGGAGAAATATTAGAGATCCAACAGTGTCAACAACTGAAAATTTTGAAGGGATAGACGATAATTTAGAAGAGATGATAAGTGATGTTGGTGCAGAAAATTTTGAAAGAGAAAATGTGTATGATAAATTGAAGTTTGATTTTGAGCAACAATTGTACCCTTGATGTAGTATGTTTACAAGATTATCAGCAACTTTAAGATTGTTTAGTTTAAAAGAAAGAAATGGGTGGATTGATAAAAGTTTCACATAATTGTTGGAGTTGTTGAAGGAGATGCTTCCAGAAGATAACACGTTACCTAATCGCAACTATGAGGAGAAAAAGATACTATGTTCAATGGGTTTGGAGTATAAGAAGATACATGCGTGCCCTAATGCTTGTGTATTGTATACAAATAATTTTGCTACATTAAAAGTGTGTCCGACATGTGGATTGTCATGGTTCAAAAAGAAAATTGATGGAAGTAGTGGTGAGGAAGAAATAGAGGGTCCCGCTACTGAGGTCTTATGATATTTGCCAATAATACCTAGGTTTAAAAGATTGTTTGCCCTTAAAGAGGATGCAAAAAACTCACATGGCATGAAAATGGTAGAAAATGTCACAAATTTCTTTGACATCCAGCTGATTCTTTGCAATAGAAGAGGATTGATGAAATATTTCCAGAATTTGGTGCAGAGTCAAGAAACTTAAGAATTGGTCTAGCTACAGATGGCACGAATCCTTATGGGAACTTAAGTAGTAAACACAATTCATGGCCAGTTTTGTTGATCATTTACAATTTGCCTCCTTGGCTATGCATGAAGAGAAAATATATTATGTTGTCTATGATGATATCAGGACCCCGACAACTAGGAAATGACATAGATGTGTATCTTAATTCCTTGATTGATGACTTGAAAATGTTGTGGGAAACATGAGTGGAGGTCTTTGATGCATCCGTGAAGAAAAATTTACTTTGCGTGCAATGTTATTTTGCATAATAAATGATTTTCTAGCATATGGTGTCTTGAGCGGTTGTAGTGTGAAGGGCCATTATGCATCCCCTATATGTGAAGAAAACACAAGTTATACCCAATTGAAACATGGGCAAAAGACCGCATACACTAAGCATTGCAAGTTTCTAGTTCGTAGTCATCCATACCGTAGATTGAAGAAAACATTCAATGGATGTCAAGAAGATGAAATTGCCTCGACACCACGCAATGATGAACAAGTATATGAGCGGGTGAAGAACATTAACATTGTGTTTGGAAAGATGCAAAAGAAGTCAACTGAGAAAAATATTTGGAAGAAACGATCAATATTCTTTAATCTTCCTTATTGGTGCAAGCTAGATGTTAGACTCTGTATAAATCTGATGCATGTGGAGAAAAATGTTTGCGATAGTGTAATTGGGACATTGCTAAATATAAAAGGAAAGACAAAAGATGGAGTGAAAGCACGACAAGATTTGGTGGACATGGGTATACGTTCTGAGTTACATCCACAAGATATTGGAAAACGCACTTACTTGCCTTCACTTGTCATACTCTATCAAAAAAAGAAAAGAAAAGCTTTTGTGAGTGGTTACGCAGTGTGAAAGTTCCACAAGGGTACTCCTCAAATGTTAAGAGTCTAGTGTCTATGCAAGATTTGAAGTTAATTGGTCTAAAGTCTTACGATTGTCATGTCTTAATGCAACAACTTTTACCTGTGGCTATTTGTAACATTTTACCATCTTTTGTTAGAGTTGATATTACTCGATTTTGTTTATTCTTCAATGCCATATGCAAGAAATTAATTGACCCTCTAAAGTTAGATGATTTAGAAAATGAAACAATCACAATCTTCTGTCAATTAGAAATGTATTTTCCACCTTCATTGTTTGATATCATGGTGCATTTGATAGTTCATTTGGTTAGGGAGATTCGATTGTGTGGCCCAGTTTATCTTAGATGGATGTACCCTTTTGAGAGATACATGAAGATCTTAAAAGGATAAGTCAAGAATCAATATCGGCTAGAAGCTTCTATTATGGAGAGGTACATTGCAAAAGAAGCCATTGAGTTTTGTTCAGGGGACATCTCAAAATCAGAACCAATAGGGATTCCTAAGACTCGGCGTGATGGGAGACATTTTGGTAAAGGTACTCGAAGTTTAAAGATCAGAAGTGTGAGTCGAACAGAAGTTGACCAAGCACATTTGTACATATTGAACAACATTGATGAAGTAATTCCTTACATATTTCAACACATACATGAAATGAAGATAGCACACCCCCGAATGAATAAAAAATGGGTATTGAATAAACATAACAAGAGTTTCTTAGCTTGGTTTAAGAAAAAGGTTTACGATGAGATTAATGCTTCTGATACACTTTTGAGATTCGCTCGTGGGCCTAACAACAATGTCATTACATTTGGTGGGTATGACATAAACAAATATTGTTTCTATACAAAGATAAAAGATGACAAAAGTAGAGTACAGAACAATGGGATTACAATTCATGTTGAGTCTGTGCACTTTGCTAGTTCTAAAGATAAAAATCC